TGGGGGATTGAACCGCGGTCCCTGATGCTTTTGCTAAGCTTGTTCTAAGTAGGTGCTTTAGACCACTGAGCCATCTCTCCAGCCCCTGTAAGACTTCTTAAGATGTGCTTCTTCCCAAATAACAAGCAAAATATTGTTTATTGAAAAATGTAAATGGTAAAGCTGAATCAAGGTAAATTACTTGTAAAATTCAGTGAAAGGAAGGTTTGAAATGAAATACTTCTGTGCATTTCAGAGTTGAATGCCTGTGCCATTTTGTACATAATTAAACAAATAGTGATTTTCATTTGGGGTACATGATATAACGTCTGAAGAAGGCTGGTGTGTTTGAGAACCTTTATCATTTTAGGTTATGTAAAGCATAGATTGTTTATAATAACTTATAGGAAATAAAATTTAAATTACACATGCCAAGACTAGTGATGTGGCATTGTAGTCCTAGATCTCTTCTGAGTTGTGTTTATCAGAATAAAATGGAGAACTTTATGTTCCAGTGTGCTATATAGCAAATGTCTTCAGTAAGGCAGTGCTAACTACTTTAATTCAGTAAGTTAATGAAAGCCTCTTCATAGCAGTGAATTCTACCTACTAACAGTGAATTAGTACAGATCTCCTGACTTATAATGCAGGAGGTCATAGAGCTTTAAAACTCTAAATTGATCATTTTTGATAAAATACCTGTGTTGTAGTACATTTCTTGATTACAAAAGTTTCATTAAATGTTTATTCATTCATTAAAATGTTTACATTTTTCAGCCTCTAAATATGATAATATACTTTAAGTTCTGTGATTACAAAATTGATTAACCTCAACTTGTAACAGAATTTGTCTAGTAGCATTGTATCAATAGATAAATTATTCTAGTGCTATGGTTGATATATATTTATGATTGTGACACTTCCATTTTTACTTTTGAAAACCTGGGTGGAACATTTTGAAGTGACATAGGCATGTTAAGAACTTGTCTTAGTCATTTTTCTTGTGGCTGAGACAAAATAACACCCACAGTTAAGGAGGAAAGGTTTATTTACCTCAGTTTGTGAAGGTTTCATAGTTGGCTGGTACTAAGGAAGAGTGGCTCGGCAGAGGGGCATCCCGGGGGAGAGCAGCAAAATCAATGTGCAAGGGAGAGGGAAATGGGGAGGGGAGAGCCAAACAGGGGAGGGGCGGAGAGAGAGGAGGGAGGGAGGGAGGGAGGGATAGGGAGACAGACAGACAGACAGACAGACAGACAGACAGACAGACAGACACAGGCAGGCATAGAGAGACAGAGGGCTAAGCCTCTTTCTGTACCTTACATTGTACCTAATCTAGTGCGACCAGGGCGGTAGCAGTCCAGTCACTGGACTGATCCAGCAGTCATCCACCCTTAATCCCAGCATTGCCAATCAGTCACACACTCTAGATTCAGTCACTCCCCCAGAAGATTCTGTGACCACATGGGCTTCGGAGGGACATCTAGACACAGCACGACAGAGCTTCTTACACAGAGATGTTTTCTTCTTCCTACCTGTCTCTCTTGGTGCAGCTCAGTGAGTGTTTGATGAATGAGGCTGGGTTAGCTGGCAGTAAGAACATCACTGGCACTTACAGCAATATTTCTAGTTGGCTTTCTGATATGTTTTCCTCAGCTAGTATTATTGTCTTCATTAGGGCTAATTTCCTCGTACTTTAATTGTTTGATAGTTTTGTGAGTAGACCTTAAATCCATTTCCTGTGCTCAAATTTTGAATAAATTATTAGAATACTATGAATGATACACTTAAAAATGAAATCTAGAACTTCCGTATTTGTAGGGTTGTAAATAGTTTACATAATAAATTGCTCTGTTTATTGTCTGAGTAATAGGCAAAGTGCTTATTTTCAGGGTTATTGGATCTTGTATAGTGAGAAAGTAAACATGAGTATGTTGAGGTTTCTTAAACCAAGTTTTAGTTGTTATCTCATATACAGTGATGAGGAGTAGACTCTAGTTCCAAGGTGTGTAGTTGTCTTAAGATGCAGAGATAGGGAGAGGAGGTATCTTATTTATTGTAGAAGTGACCCTATACTTCTAAGCATGAGTTTTGATTTACATGTTAAATTATTGTTATTTGACTCTCAGAAGGTACAGGTAGAAACAAACTCAGAGGTCCTATGGCCCCTCCTTGGGCTCAGTTAATATGCTAAAGCAGCTCATAGAACTCAAAAACACATCTTCTGCTTTTTTTTTGGGGGGGGGGCTGCTCAGCCCGCCCTGAGAGTGGGCTGTTGCTGTATGTGGTGCCAGGAATCGAACCTGGTCTCCTGCACCTGCCTAAGTAGGCACTTTAGACCTCTGAGCTATCTCTCTGGCCCTTTTCTGCTTATTATAAAGAATATTGTAAAGGCCACAGATGACCAGCCTGGTGGAAGAGCTGCAAGAGAGGGCAAGGCGTTGTAGGAAGGGCTGTGGAATTTCCTTGCTGTGTTACCCTGGAGTCTCCATGTACTTAGCTGGCTCCAGACTCGCCTGAACCTTGTCCTTTAGGGTTTTTATGCAGGGCCTATTATGTAGAGGTGATTGATGACATCACTGGCCACTGAGTATAACTTCAACTGTAAGCTCCGTTTGCCTTTCCTGGAAAGATCAAGTATATACGGCATCTGGCAAAACAATGTGTACACACTCCAGGAAAAGAAAAGCTCATGTAAATATATTAATACTAAATATATTGAGACGTCATGAGAGTAATGCAAGTTACCTTTGGCTTCTGCAGTTCCAGGTGTTTACACTGAAGGCCAGGAGCCTCCAGGTGTTTGTTAGTGTGGCGAGCTGCTGCCTGGGGAGCTGCTCAGTGAGATCGCTGCACATGCACTTTAAACAGCTTCTGTAAGGGACAACAGCATAGTGAGTTTTCTGTGATATGCGACATCTTCTAGGGTCCCCCATATAAGGGTAACACCAGCTATTGCAAAAAATTTTTTTTTCTTTTATTGAGTGTACATGTGTATTTTGGACTCTGCATTTCATAATACTGCAAATTTCTTATTTTTGTTGTTGAGTGTTATGGATTGGGGTTTTAATCTCGTGTCATATCTTTTTTTATTTATTACTTTTGTACTTAGTACAGGGTCTCCCTACATAGATCAGACTCGTAATGATTCTGCTTTCAGCCTCCCAAGAACTGGGATTACAGCTGTGAGCCACCACGCTTAGTCTCAATCTCTGTCTCGGTGCACCCCGGGAGCGGGGCTGGCATGGCAGGCCAGGGATCTAACCCTCTCATGTCATATCTTAAAAATATCTAAACACCGAATAGTGAAATTGATGAAAGTCAATGCCTTCTACATAGTATAAGCATGTTTAAATGTGTACAATTAAGTGCCTCATATAAAAACTATGCTATACATGATTCTTCGTGAGAAATTTTTCTTCATGGGCTGGAATGGTTTTTTTTTTTTTCCAAATTGAAGTACAATACAATTTTTACTGGAAGTAATTTCTTGATAAAATGTCCAAAGCTACCAATAAGCGTTCTTCTTAAAGAACTTCACCCTAACTTCAAATAAACTGTATCAAGTTTTGCAAATCTCATTGTTGATTTCATGTGAGAAAATGATCTGAGTACATGGCGAGGCGTATTTGGTGAACAGCCATTTATTTATTCATTTATTTATTTTTGTTTGTTTTTTTAAGTTTGAGGCAGGGTCTCACTATATAGTTCCGGCTGGCTGTGTCCCAGGCTGGCCTCTCATTGCAGTTTTCCTGCCTCAGCCTTCCTGAGTGCTGGGATTACATGTGTGCCCCTCCGCGCTCTGATGCTGTTCTTTTAAATATTAATTTCTCTACCCTCTTTGTCTAGTTTCTTCTCCTTTGATTTTCCTTTGTTGTCTTTGTAGGTTGGACCTTTATTGGTTTACGGTGGCATTTGTGAGAATCAGGGATTGCACGATGCCAGTTGTCAGAATTGATAATTTTCTAAAGTCTTATGAAGATAGTCCCCTTGTTTCTTTTTGGTGGTGCTGGTGATTGAGCCCAGGGACTTCAGCTATGTCACCAACCCTTTAATTTTTTTTTTTTTTTTTAAACTGTGAGAGGGGCTGGGGAGATGGCTCAGTGGAATAAAGCGCTTCCTTGGCAAGCACAAGGGCCTGAGTTCAAAGCTCAGTTCCAACAAAACAAAACAAAACAACCCCAAACAGACAAACAAATTGAGAGAGGGGAGCTGGAATCACAGGCATATGTTACTACAGCTGGCTGAGAATCCACTTTCTTCTGTATTTCATTTAAGAAAATCCCAAGAAAAACAAAGACTGCATTGCATACTTAACCAAAGTTAGAGTTGAACTGGGCATGGTGATTTATGCCTGTAATTCCAGCATCCTGAGAGGCTGAGGCAGGAGGATTTAAGCCCACCCTGGACACTATGCATTTAGTACAATGTCTCAAAAAAAAAAAAAAAATCAGGAGATATATAACTATGTATCACTCATTGTGAAAGTTCTGACTGTAAGGGGAAAAAAGTTACTAGTTGAATATAATTAGTATTCTTTAAAAATTTTTTTTTAAAATCTTTTGATTGATTTATTTGGTGTAGGGTCCCACTACATAGCTCTGGCTCATAGTGGTCCTCCCGTCTCAGCCTCCCCAGCGCTGGGATTACAGGCGTGCGCCATCACACCTGGTTTTGATGGCTGGCAGGTCACGCCCTGGGTTCCGGGACCAGCATGGCATGCTCTGGGGATCAAATGTGTGTCCTTGTGCTTGCCAGGCAGGCACTCAGGCCGCAGAGCGATCTCCCTAGCCCAATTAGCATTCTTGACCAAGGGTTTGCACGCTTTTCTTCTCGAGGGCTAGATGAATGTTTTAGGCTTGCAGCCACAGCTGGTTTTTCTTTAGTCTTAAAATGTAAGTCATTCTGAACTGAAGTATCTGGATTGGATTTGGCTCAAAGACTTACAGTTTGCTGACCTCTGTGCTAGACATATTCTGTGTTTGTATGAAGTGTATATAAAATAGACAAATATAACTAAATATAAAATGTATGTAACTTCATTTTGGCGTTGGTGATTGAATCCAGCGCCTTCCCCAGTCCTTTCCTCCTTTTTGGTGGAGAAACTTTTCTTAATACCTTTCCCCACAGAATTGTAAATACTAAAACTGCCCAGATGTTTTGGGTAAATTAGAGGGCTAATATTTGTTACTTTAATTTTCAGATGGTGACCCTGATAACTATATTGCATACTATCGGAGAGCTACTGTCTTTTTAGCTATGGGAAAATCAAAAGCAGCACTTCCTGATTTAACTAAAGTGATTGAACTGAAGATGGATTTCACGGCAGTAAGTTTACCTGAACCTTGTTTAAAAGGGGACTAAAGGGAACTTGAAGAGGTAATTTACTTCTAAGTGAGGATCGACATGTTTAACGTAGTTGCAGGAGGTCAGAGCTCCCGTGATGCAGTGCACTGGGGGCAAGAGGAAGTCCAAGTCCCTAGAAGTTATGGGCACAAAGATTTGGAACTGCAGTCCCAGCTGTCTGGGAGGCTCAAGGAGAGAAGAAGGCTTGAGTTCAGGAATTTGAGGCCAACTGAGCAACCTAGTGAGATTACATGGCCCAGCCAGAACTAGAGCAAGCCAAGCCAAACCTAACACAGCTCCTAGAATTGGGTCTATGGAAGAGGATCAGAAGGTGTGCACGGTGATTTTTCAGAGGTTGGCTTTATCGTCTAGAAAGATAAATCTGTGAAGGATGGACAGCAGGGCATGACATTAAGGAGACTGACAAGCTGATAAATTAAGAGGCTGACAAGCTGGAAGAACAGGGAGGAAACAGCTCTGCTGTGCGGTGGCTTCTGGTGAGGAGGACACCTTGCTGATCTGCAGGGCTCTGATTGGAACCAGTGCCCAGCTTTCAGAGGTGGGGAGCATGCAGTCCAGTGCAGTCCCCTGGAGGCTGCAGGTGTCTGTGAGGGCTGCGGTGCATGTGCTGGGACTCACTGGGCGGCTCTCAGGGGCAAAACATCTGGTGCCATCGAGCAAGATTCTCAAGATTGATTTGGTAATAATCAGGCGTGCACACGGCTGTAATCCCTGCACTTGGGAGGCTGAGGCAGGAGGACTGCTGCACTTTCAAGTTCAGCATAGGCTGTATAATGATACCCTATCTCAAGAAAAAGTATTGGTGACCATTTATTTATATTCTAAAAAAGATGAGATAACATTAGATATGGAATATTTGATTTGAAATATTACTATTACTTTATGATGAAATCCACAGCTGTCAAGTTTTAAATGAATCTATTACTTTACAAAAGATTAAGAAACTCACTTTTCTGGTGTTGTGATAAGCAGATCTGTTTCTGGAGTTTAGATTGGTGAAGACCTAAGTAATGCAACTTTTATTTTAGTGGCAAAAGTTACTAGGTAACAAAAAAGTATTTTTAATATTGATATATATCATGTCCCGTCAGAGCCACCGTTGTGAGCTCTTCAGCAGTGCTTAGAGCATTTACAGGGTTGTGCAGTCTCCACTACCTCAGCCATTCTTGTGACCCTCAAGGTGAACCCTGTACCTAGTAGCAGTCACTCCCCATTTCTTAGGCTTTGGCACCAATTTATATGGATTTGCCTGTTTTGGGTATTTCAAATAAATGAAATCATTAAGTCTGTGGCCTTGCGCATCTGACTTTTTCATTGAGCAGGTGTTCAAGGTTCTTTTATGCTGTAGCATGTATTAATACTTCATTATTTTATGACTTAATAATAATTTCATTGTATGGCTGTATAATTATTAGTTGATAGAAACTTGGGTTTCCACCTCTGCCTGTTGTTCTGAACACTGTAGTTTTCATGAGTAGAGCAAGATGTATTGTTGGGGCCAGGGAGATGGCTCAGTGGAATAAGCACTTCCTTGGCAAGTACAAGGGCCTGAGTTCAATCCCTGGTTCCCCCAAAAAAAAAAAAAAAAGATACATTGTTAAGAAAGTGTGTATAACAGAGATTATCCATTGGTTTGTTCCAGAAGTTACTCTTGCTGCCAAGCTCAAACATTGGAAAATAAATATTTATAATTCTATTATTTAGTTAGTCTTATTCTTTGTAGTTAAAGAAAATTTAGAAAAATATGCATAGTGTACTTAGCCCGATTCCTTCTTTTCCTAGGCAAGGTTACAGAGGGGCCACTTGCTGCTCAAACAGGGAAAACTGGACGAAGCAGAGGATGACTTTAAAAAAGTGGTGAGTTCGGTTTGCAGTTGGCACTAAGGTGCTGAGTTGAGAGAGGACATTGGGCCTTCTTCTTTGTAGTTAATTATCTGAGTAATTTTATAGTTGAAAATTGTCTGACATATGTATGTAAGAATCCCAGGCTTGGAATTAATTTTTGGTGACTGGCATCAATCAATCAGAGTAAGTGTTGGAAGGTAGATTGTGAGCATTGGTGTTTCATCCTCCTGAGTTTATATAGTTCACTTGCTCTGTTTCTTCCTATATTAGAACCTAGAGATGTCAGCTAAGCTATCCTCAAAGTCCTGTAAGTTACTTGGGAGACTTTCATTTGATTCGAGGAATGTTCAAAATTCTTCAAAGTGAATTTTTCGGTCACCCAAAAATTGCCTTTTTAGGGGAATAGATAGAGTATGTCCCTGTGAAGGGGTATGTATCGAAGAAAGGCTCTAGGGGAGACAGTGGGCCAGTTTCTTCTTGCTCTTATTTGGCTTAAAAGTCTTCCTTTGTATGTAAAGTGGATTAGTCTCTGGAGTAGTAGAGAAGGGACATATAATCCATTGTTCCTTGTTTGCATTTTGTTGTTTATTGAACTGCTTATTCTGATAATAATTCCTATGAAAACTAAAATGTCTGCTATTGTCATAACTCTTGCCACAATACTCAAGTCATTTGCAAATAATTTTAAAAAAACATTTTGATTTAATTGTGCTGAATCAGTGGCTGTTTCCTAGTCTCATAAGTTATTGGCCATTCTATGCTTTCCTGCCCTTCCTCCTATTGGGAAGGTGCTTCCTAACCCAGTTCCTGAGTTCCTAGTTGGGGCAGCAGGAGAGCTGCTTCCCTCATGGGGGTCAGAAGCAGAGGAGGCGAAGACACAGGCAGAGGACGATGCTGGGGTAGCAGTCTTGTGCCCCGCTTCCCGCCCCCGGGAGCCCTTCAGCCTTGAGCTCATCAGCGGAGTAATGGGTTGATGAGGCAGCACCCTTGGTGCAGGGGTCTTTGGGGAACTTCATATTTGGTTGGTAACATCTGCCGTGATCACGTCGCTAGTCAGCAAGCAGGTTTTAGATTCCACAGCTCGCACTTTCAGCACTGCTGGTTTCCCCTTTGTTGTTGTTAGTACCTGGCCATCTGCATTCTTCTCAGGACTTTCCTGTGGAGTAAGGGCGTGGGTTTTAAGCATGTGTTTTACACAGTGCAGGAGTTGCCACTATTTGTGTAGGAAACATGTATTTGTTTGAATATGAGTAAATATATGTAGGAAAATATATGTAGGAAACTAGTAGCTTTTGGAGGAAGAGTATTCCATGTGACCATATTATTCAGTCACTTGGGTTTTTTTTGGCAGAACTGGGGATTGAACTCAGGCCCTTGCACTTGCCAGGGAAGCGCTTGATTCCACTGAGCCATCTCCCCGGCCCCATATTATTCAGAAAGTACATATTTTACCCATTTTGTATAAGTGACCTTTGAAAGCCCTTGCCTTCTGAGGACATCACTGTCCCTATGTAAAGTATAGAGGTTGAGTAGGTGACATATTATCTGTTGTTGCCATAAAATGGATGATTTCTGGGTCTAGTTTGAAAAGAACAATTTTGTCATGATTATATTTTATTTTTCCTAATTAAAGAATTCTTATACTTTAATTTTTGAATATTTGTCAAACTCAGGTTACGTAGTAGTTTGGTTATTTCTTATGTCTACAATTAAATAAGGTGTTTTTAATGTGTTTAAGATCATTTACCAGCTAAAGATATACTACAAAAAATTCATACATTAATATAATACTATATATAAATATTAGTTATATCTTACGTAATAGAATGAGATTTTTTTTTTTACAGTAAAATATGCTAAATCGCATTTGCGTGCCAATGAGAATCTCATTCTTTGTATGTGTAGAATCTCCAGCTGCAGGCTACCAGTGAACAAGTCTGACTTCAGGTCGATACTGGCTGTCCCACTCATAAACAGGATTTGCAACTCTTTAGCTTACTTCTGAGCTGTCAGAGACTCTTGCTTTAATCAGTGCATTTAATGATGTGTTAGTTCAGTGAGTGGTGGATCCTTTGCTAGGTAGATTTGTAGGTAATATATAGCATTGCCGGTGGAGAAAGTCAGGCTCTGTCGTCTAAGAGATGGCACTGAGATGAGAACCAGTCAAATAGATACTATACAGTAAGTGCTATGGTTAGGTTTTCTGGGAACACACGGAAGAGTCGCCTAGCTTTAGCTTGGCTTTGAGGGTCTGGAGTCAAGAGGGCTTTCCTAAAGCAAGTTACCTGCTTGAAATTTCAGTCTTTATAAAGGGATACATTAGTGTTAGCAAGGTGGGTGGGTACAGCATTTCAGGCAATGGTGAAGAGTTTGTGTAAAGGGCTGGGGAAATGGCCCAGTAGAATAAGCGCTTGCCTGGCAAGCACAAGGGCCTGAGTTCAGTCCCTGATTCCTCCAAAAAAAACCCCAAAAAACAAAAAAACAAGAGTTTGTGTAAAAGCAGTAGGCAAGAGTTCAGATAATCCCTCCAGTAAGACTGAAGTAATACTTGTGCCTCTGTTCATGGATACTTCTGTTCACAAACAGTTTGATTCACAGGCAGCAGCATGCAGTCATCTTTGCCAGTATTGTGGAGTGAATTAAATTTGTGCACTGAGGTCTGTTGTGGTACCTCATGATTACTGAGAAATGGCAAAAGTCTCTACCCTGTGTTACTGTTGTGTTAGTTACCTGTTCAGTTTCCTAAGAAATGACCCACCATTGACAGATTAAAGCAGCACATTGCTGTTACCTCTGCTTATAGTGTTAGGAATTTGGGCATAGTACAGCTGGGTCTCCTCCTCAGTGTTTAGAATGTGTCTTGTGGGTATGGAATTTAAGAGATTAAAAACTGTTTAATTTGTCATTATTTGTATAGCTCAAATCTAATCCAAGTGAAAATGAAGAAAAGGAAGCCCAATCTCAGCTTCTAAAGTCTGATGAAATGCAGCGTTTGCGTTCACAAGCATTCGATGCTTTTCAGAGTGCAGATTATACTGCTGCTATAGCCTTCCTTGATAAGATTTTAGAGGTAAGTTTCTTTGCTATTACAGCTGTCAAGCCTGACACTTACTGCTTTTTACTGTAAGGCATGTTTATGTACTTTGATATGTTCTGTGACCACAAAATACCTAGACTAAACATAATCAGGTTGACAGCTGAGCTTTCAGCTCTTTAGTGACTTTGTTTCTGTAGAAAAAAATGACAACCATGGCTGGGAGACAGCTCAGCAGCATAAGTGCCTGCCTGGCATGCACAAGGTCCTGAGTTCGATCCCTGGTACTGAGGAAAAAAAAAGGAAAAAGAAAAAAAAAGGTAACCAAAACTGAGTGAATGTGAAGTAAAAGTTACATGTTTTTATGTTTTCTTTTTCTTTTTATTTTTCTATTTGGTTTGATGATGTATTCTTTGGGGAAGAAAATTCTTAGAGATAAGATCCTAAGGTACAAGATGGAAGTTGGCTGAAGCAAAAGGAGTAGTGATATTGGGAAGAGAAGTACTTACACTGAAGGGTTTGCAGGAAAGGATGCAGACTGGTGGGCTCCAGCGGCTTTAGATGGGCAGTGCAGGGTCTAGAGTGGGCCTCTTCACTGCAGGAGGGTTTAATGACAAATGATTCAGAATGCAATTTAAAGTACTCTAATGGAGGCAGTCACATTTCATATATAATTACCATTTTCACAGTACTATGATGTTCAGTTTCTAGAAGTAAACTTGTATGATAAAATGGGCATTTTCTTTGATAATTTTATGGTGGAAAATCATGTCTTGCCTTGTTGCTCTGAGTTTTTTTTTTTTTTTTTGGTGGAACTGGGGATTGAATTCAGGCCCTTGCGCTTAAGTGCTTATTCTACTGAGCTGTCTCCCCGGCCCCATTGCCTGGTTGCTCTGGCTGATGTTTTAAGTACTGTGTTAAGCAGCAGGGCAAGGAGTTTTCCACATACTACATACCCACTGTGTGGAAGAAATAGGCAGCTTATTGTTATTATTTTTTTTTAATATTTATTTTTATTTATTACATTTATTTATTGTGTGTGTGTGTGTGTGTGGCCAGCTCAGCCCACCAGGGGGCGGGCTGGCTGGCATGTGGTGCTGGGGATCGAACCGCGGTCCCTGTGCTTTGCCAAGCTTGTTTCAAGTAGGTGCTTTAGACCACTGAGCCATCTCTCCAGCCCAGCTTATTGTTATTAAAATTATACTGGGGAACCTTCTCTCTCTTGCTGTTCTGTTGCAGGCTCTTGGGAAGGGAGCAGTGGTGTGTGGCAGTGAGACTTTACCCCATTCTGTTTTCAGCTTCTTGGAGTTGCTGAGTTGAAGTTGTTTAATTTCCTGTGCTCTGAGAAGACATTTGTTTCATGCCTGATAGTCTCTGAGGGGCTGACTCACTCCTTCCCTCCACCAGCCCAGCCCTTTCCCATGATGGCTGGGGAACTTGTCTGGCGTGGCAGTGGGACAGCGTGATCCTTGTGTGGACCAGTTTTCCCTCTCTTACCCTCTAGACTCTGGACTTTAGTCTAGCTGGGTTGTCTCTTTGTTTATTAACCTGTGTTGGACTTTATCCCTCACCTTCGCCTTAGAGTAACTACTTCTCTTGAGTACCAGATTGGAGGTAGTCACTGTCGTTGATGCCCCATGCGTCTGCAATGAATCCACTCCCTCTTTTTGATAAAAGGATTTAATTTCAAAGAGATATATAAAAGAGAATTTCATTTAGGTAGCAGAATAAAATTATTTGCTAATTTAAAACCTAGACTTTTTTAAAAAAATGTATTTAGTACAGGGTCTACAGGGTTTCACTACACAGATCAGACTCGTAGTGATCCTCCTGTTTTCAGCCTTCCAAGTGCTGGGATTACAGGTGTGTGCCACCATGCCCAGTCTCATTCACAGTCTCTGTGCCCCTGGAGCATGGCTGGCACGGCATGCTGGGGATCAACCCAGGTTCCTGTGGCCTGCCTAAGCAGGTGCTTTAGTCCGTTGAGCTATCTGGCCAGCCCTTAGTCTCTTTTGACTAGAAATTCTAATCGTTAAGTACAAATCTGATTGTAAAATATTCTCTTCAAATATACTAGGAATAGACCTCTAATAGTAAATGCTGTGTTTTCTAATATTGAGCATTTTAGAATTGTATATGTAATTGACAAAGGGAAGAGGCCATATATGTACATATCTATGTATGTGTATATATATGTAATGTGTGTGTATATATATGATATATATATATATATATATATATATATATAGGAATATACATATATTCCTTTTCCAGTTAGAATTTGAGATGTCCTTGGAGAAACTGTCACATTTAATTTTTTGTTTTTTGGAACGAAGGATTGAACTTAGGACCTTGCACTTACCAGGCAAGTGCTTATTCTACTGAGCTATCTCCCCAGCCTTGTCACATTTAAATTGTATCAGACTTTCAAATGCCTTTTACAGAACAGAAGCCATCATATTAACTGAGGATGCTTTATGTTGATAAATATGTCAATAAAAATTTGTAGGATACAAAATGAATGCGTAAGTATTGCTTCTTAAAGATTAGTTCTTTTGTTTCTTAAGGTTTGTGTTTGGGATGCAGAACTACGGGAACTTCGAGCTGAATGTTTTATAAAAGAAGGGGAACCTCGGAAAGCTATAAGTGACCTAAAAGCTGCAGCAAAATTGAAGAACGATAATACTGAGGCATTTTATAGAATCAGCACATTGTATTACCAGCTGGGAGACCATGAGCTGTCCCTCAGGTAGGTTCTCCTGATGCCATATCTGAGCACACTTGTCACGGGCAGTAAGAGTACCTCACTTAAAGAAATCAGTGTTAAACTAATACAATTATGTGAAGTCTCTTTTTATAGTCTATGTCTATTTATATATTTTGTCATCCCTAAGTTACTTTGGTTTCACATAATTTGTTTCATGAACTGTGCTTATTAAAGTAAATGGGAGGGCTGTTTTATTTGTAGAAATACAGCGGGATGTACAGTGTTAATGTTTAACTGTAAGTCATTCAGTTGGAATGAGTATGTCTGTGGTACAGCCTCGTATATAACTTATTAAGGCAATATGTTTTCAGATAAAAGCAGTTAGGATTGCTGTATCTAATGTGCAAACTATTCATTATTTTAACTTGGAATATTTTCTTTTTTTCAATTATATGGGCAGTGAAGTTCGTGAATGTCTTAAACTTGATCAGGATCACAAAAGATGTTTTGCACACTACAAACAAGTGAAGAAACTTAATAAGCTGATTGAGTCAGCCGAAGAGCTCATCAGAGATGGCAGGTAGGCATATGCTTATTTCCACTGTCCAGACTCTGCTTGCATGCCCTGTTGTGGGCACAGTGAGCTGCGTCTGCTCCTGGGTTTCCTGGTTGTTGAGATTGAGATGGTCCCGGGCTGTAGCAAAACTGTCTGGGTTGCACATTTTGGAACAAGACACAATATAAAGAGAGTGGCATTTCAGTTCACAGCTGTTCTTGCTATGATTCTGGTCGCAGACTTGGATGACAACCAAAGTAAATTCAGTGCTTGTTAGGTTCATTGTTGACCTTATGGGGAATTTGACTCAGTTCTTGACCAGTTCAGTTTGTGACTAGAATTGTGGAGAGAAAAGAGTTCGTGAACTGACGTGCCACTGTAATACACCTGCGTATTTATTTATGTTATACTGGGTTTTTATTGTTCCTAGTATCAGGTGTAGAGGTATATAAGAATGTAGAAATGAGTCTGGCTAAATAGTTTTTGGTCTTAAGAAGTTTATAGCACTGTGTGGGAGACAGAAATATAAATTTCATCGAAGATAGTGATACTGAGTGCTGGAGTGTGCACACTAATGGAAGTACCACAGGAGGACATGGAATACAAGCCTGAGTGGTGAAGCCCAGGAGTAAGAGAAGCTTTTGGAGGTGACAGATATTCAAATGCTATCATGGTTTGGAGTTTTGCAAGAGGAATAGTATAATATAGAACACATATTTCATAAGATTATTTTATAATGAATCACCCAAAGAATCATATACAAAGAGTACAGGAAATCTGCCCACACACTACAGACCAAAGACTCCAGGCCCCGTGGTATGTCCTGCATGAGTCCAGGTGAAGACCTAGAGCTCATAACAGTGCCTCCCGCAAGTCCAACTGGAGGCCTGCAGCCCACGACAACTTCTAATGCAGACCTGTTTCATGGATCTGTGCTGGAAAGGCCCAAAGGTCAGTGGTGGACGCTAGAAAGTCCATGTCAGCGGGATAAAGATCTGTGCCAGCAGGCTGAGGGATTTGAACTGGGCCCAGGAAGCAGCATTCGAGGTAAGGACCAGAACTCCCCTGAAAGGTACCACAGCCATTCTCAACAACAGTGAGGTTCTGAACTCCTCCAGTGATGAAGAAAGTTGAATTCTTGTCAGGAAAGCCAATGTGACAAGCTTCTCCAGGAGACTGAGCTATGCACCATCTTCCTTTCTGGAGCCAGGAACTGATGCTCAAAGTGGGGACCAGAGCTCCCCAAAGTGAGCTGCAGCCATCCTTAGGGACAGTGAGGTCTCAGGCTCCTCTTCTGATGAGAACAACCAAGCTCACCAGCATGACACCAAGTTCATCAGCATGACAAGGTCCTCCAGCAGAATAGCCCAAGAGCACCAGCAGCTTCCAGCAACTCCAACAGCTTCTCCAGCTTTGCTAACAGCCTTCCATTAGCTTCTCTCCTTCTGCCTCTCATGCTGCCAGCAACAGCCCTCAGGTGGGCCTCCACACCTGGCACCATGCTAGTTCAGTTCAGCTGGGTGTAGTAAGTTGACTGCCAGTTGGCAATCCACCAGAAATGTTCATTTTGAAGAAAAAGTAGGTCCTGCTAAAAGTAAAGGGTTCTGTCTGTATGAGGAGTATTTGTAGGAGGTTTGCAGGTTGGAACAGATGAGTTAAAGAGAATGCAGAACATGCTATACAGTGCTGCTTAGTAGAAGGAGGTTCTGACCTCCCCAGCCGCACTCTAATTTCTTTGTAAGCTGTCCTTATGGGAACTCTTTACTCAGTTTCCTCTAATGTCTTGCAAATTGTAATGCCTTAGAAACTTACAGTATAATAGCACAATGAGGATATTGATTAATTCCATCACTATGATCTTTCATGTAGCGATTCTATAGCCAGGTCTATTCTTCTGTCCTTATCTCTTCCTTAGCTGTTAGAGACATTAATATATTCTCCATTTCTATAATGCTGTCATTTTAAGAATGTTACAGAAATGGAGTCATATAGAATGTAAACTTTGAGATTGGCTTCTTTCCATCCTGTGTAACTCTAGATTTATCCAGATTGTTCTGTGTGTCCATATTTCCTTTCTGTTTATTGCTGAGTAGTTTCCATGGCTTGGCTGTACCAGTTTCTTTTTTTTTAAATTTATTTTATTTATGTGTGTGTGTGTGTGTGTGTGTGGCCAGCTCAGCCCACCAGGGGGCGGGGCTGGCTGGCATGTGGTGCTGGGGGATTGAACCGCGGTCCCTGTGCTTTGTTAAGCTTGTTCTAAGTAGGTGCTTTAGACCACTGAGCCATCTCACCAGCCCTGTACCACAGTTTCTTTAGCCATTTATTAGTTACCTAGTGAAGGCCATAATAGCTGTTTTGGCTATTAGTGAATAATGAGTACAGGCTTTGCGTGAATGTAAGTTTTCATTTCTCTGGGATAAAGGCCGCCAATGCTGTTGCTGGGCTGCATGATAGTTGCATGCTTAGTCTATAAGAAGTTGCCAAATTGATTTTTAGAGTGAATGCGCCATTTAACATCCACCACTGTGCTCAGCTGTACCTTTAGAGTTTACTATAGACATACTGTCGCCGTAACTTAACATTACTTAGACATAACTTGCTAGAATCTATTGGTGTCATTTCAATGAACGAATGTGGTAAAAGAAACTTCTTTGCATCTAATTATCTTTACTCTCTCTTGTTTACAATTATCTTAAAATATTTTCTGTCAACACTGAACATAATTTACAAACTCAAGAGGAGGAACAAAGCTTAGACTATTTAGTCTGCCTGTTTTGCTACAACAAGATACATGAGCCTGGGTACTTTTTATAAAGAAAAGGTTTGTCTCATGCTGGTGACTGTGAAGTCCAAACAGTACCTGTATTCTGGTAAGGGCTCCCTGGCTGTATGATAATACGGCAGAGACGCAGAAGAAGCCAAGCATGTGAGGTAGCCTGGCTTTATACTAGCATTCTCTTGACAAGGAACATGGTTCTCGGAGAACTACATTAACCCCTTCTGAGGGTAGTGCCCTCATGACTTAATTCACTTTTACTAGGCCTCTCCTCTTTCATAGTAGGGGCCAAGCTTTCAGTATGTGAACTTTTGGGGGATAAGCCATAACAAATATATCTTCAGATTGAGATTCATATTTTCTTTACCGTGCTTCTTGTTCCTTCTTCATGTTCTAAGATGCTATACCCCCACCCCCCACGCACTCTTTGGTGCTGGGGCTTGAACCCAGGTCCTCGTGCATGCTGGGCACATGGCCTGCACTGAGTTATGTCCTTCGCCCCATATCCTTTCTGTTTGGTGGACTCCCTTTAGGGAAGGCATTGGTAACATACTTTCTAGTTTTTCTCTGCAAATGTCTTGACTTCCCTTTAATTACTGGAGGAAATTTTCTTTGGGTTTGGATTCTGAGTTAACAAATCTTTTCTTATTTGGGGCCACTTCTTTCTGGCCTCCATAGTTTCTGATGAGAAATCTTTTGTCATTCCAATAGGAAATAGTACTTAAAAGGGAAAAAACTTGACTGTTTGCAAGACTTTTTTTTCCTCTGCATTGTTTAGCTGTGATATGTCTTGGCAAGGATTTGTGTTGATTCTATTTGCAGGTTATTTGGCTTCTTGAATGTAGTCATATACTACATAATGCCATTTTGTCAAGATATACCACATGTGCAGCTGCTCCCGTAAGATAAGGGAGGTAAAAAATTGCTTTGCTTAGTGATGTTCTGGCCATTGTAACTCAGTGCATTACTCAAGTGCTTGTGGTGGTGCTAGTGGAAACAGACCTGGCAGCCATGTGAATATGGAATTCCCCACACTTGATAGTGAAAATGAAGACTAGAGTAGTAAGTCAGGCACTTTATCATGCCATATTTTTTATTATTAGAATGTTAAAGTTTTTTTATTGTAAATCAAGATGCTGTTATGTTGGCAGCAGCCTTAAACGTTTGTGTTGGAGGCCAAGTCAAACAACTGATTTGTACCTTTTAGGCTACTATGAGTGTACTGCTTTTGCAGAAAGGTACAATCTAACTGGTATATGTAGTTATTATTATTATTATTATTATTATTATTATTATTATTATTTTGGTGGAACTGGGGATTGAACTCAGGCCCTTGTGCTTGCCAGGGAAGTGCTTATTCCACTGAACCATCTCTCCAGCCCTGGTGTATGTAATTTTAAGGAAGCAGTTCCCTCATTAAGCAATGTATTATTTAGGTTTGTGTCCCTTCAAATATAGGAAACTTTCATCCTTTTTTTTTTTAAAGGACTCTTATAGCTATTTTTTTCTCTGTTACAGTCTTACAGTTCCCTAAGGCTTCAGTTTTTAAAGTCTGTCTTCTCTTTGTTGCTCAGATTTGATAATTTCTCTTGTATTCCGTAATAGTTCTGTTTGTTCTCTTGGTTTTACTACTGAGTACATTCATTTAGGCCTTATATTCCCATATTTCATTTGGTTACTCCTTGTATTTTTTAATTCTTCACTGAGGCTTTTCTTTTAAATGTATTTGGTATAGGGTCTCACTGTACAGCTCAGACTCCTAGTGATCCTCCTGTTTTCAGCCTCCCAGAGCTGGGATTACAGGCATGTGCTACCATGCCTGGTCTTTGTGGCCGGCTTAGCGTGACCAGGAGCAGGGCGGGAGCAGCATGTAGTGCGGGCGATTGAATCCTGATCCCTGTGCTTGCCTAAACAGGCACTTAGTCTGCTGAGCTATCTTGCTGTCCCTTCACTGAGACTATTTCTTTGCAGAGGCATGTGATGTTTTTCATGTTACAAACTTGTTTGTAGTTGCTACTTTTTCATGAGTACTTAACATCTTTTGACAGATTTTAACATCTGTGTCCTTTTGGTTGGGATTCAGTAATTATCTTTTCTCATTAAATCTGAGATTTTTATATTTCATGGTGTGATGAGTGGTTTTTACTTTAACCTTCTGCTTTGCCTGGTTCTTTGGTACTGTTCCAGCAAAGTGAGGGCGGCATGAGCACCACCCTGTTGCTGCTAGATGGAAGTGTCCTACTTGGTTGCTGTTGACACTTGAGCAAAGTAGGTCTTCTTGCTGTATACGGGTAGCTTGGTGCAGGGCAGAATTTCGGCCCCTCACATGGTCTCCACTGGTAGCAGTGGGGAAGTAGAGTGGGACCTGTTAGCAGCCATGGAGGAACGTCTGGGCCCCTCCTGGCCTTCCTCTGACACCACCATGGCAGGTGTGAAGGGGAATCGTGTTCAGCTTCATCAGGGAGAGGAAGTTGGAGGCTCTGGGCCTTCACTGGCATTTGGGCTGGTGATGGTGCTTTAAACTGGCATGGTTTCATGTGAAGTGTCTCCCTGAACTGAAGCTGTTACTGTCAGTTTTTTTACCTTACTGGGCAGCCCTTTCCAGGTCCTCTGGTTAGGGAAAGAAGGTGTGGTTTTGTTTTGCATTTCTGGATTTCTGCCTGTGCAGCACCAAGTCTGGGTTATTAGAAACCCAGGGAATTTAGGGCCATAGTTTTCCTTAGTTCTGAGGTTGCTAGCTAATCTGTGTTTTTTGTTTGTTTGTTTGTTTTTGTATTTTAGGGAAGAGTCTACAGGGTGTTCAGGGTCTTACTACTAGATCAGACTCATAGTGATCCGCCTATTTACAGCCTCCCAAGAGCTGGGATTACAGGCTCGCACCACCACGCCCAGTCTCAATTGCTGTCTCAGTGTGCCCCTAGGGTGGGGCCAGCACCGAAGGCCCGGGGATTGAACCCCCCAGCCCCTGCCCCTGCTTGCAGGTGCTTTAATCTGATGAGCTATTTGGCCAGCTCTTACTCTGCCTTTTCTACGTGGTTTATGTCTGTAGTCTCAGACAGCATGTGATACCTAGGGTTTTAGTTGTACTTAGTTGCAGGAATTGAGAAAAGTGTACCTACTTTACTTTCCCAGCTTTTCTTTTAAATATTCTGCTTAAATCTGTGTCAGTACATCAGCATTTAAATGTGAAGATTATGGAATTATGTGCCACAGTGACATGTAAATATATCTTTTAGGTGGCTGTTCTTAAAAATAATAACTTGATATATAATAAGCTAGTTGAGCTTTTACTAACTAGTACTTTTTACCAGTTTAAAGAAAATGATGTAATATAGTGGTACCTTGGCACTTCTTGTTAACAGGCTTTGAGGTGCTCGATGAGTACTAGCCCGGCGGCTACCAAGCACACTGTTTCCGTGGGGCTGGGGGTGGGGCAGGGCAGTGAGCGTTGGGGCCGCAGACACCACGTGTCAGGCAGCCAGTAAGTGCTGGGCAAAGTTTCCCTGCCAAGGTGCATTTAGTTTAGGATTCAACAAAGACATGACTGTAGCTTCATTGTTCTTAGAAAGCTGGTAAAATGGGGACTTTAAGGAGATTCAGTCTGCATTGTGCTTAGTTGTGGATATACGGCCTTAATTATATAAAATGGCACATAGTGCGCTCTCTTATTTTCTTAAAAGTGTATAGTAGTCAAGAAATAAAACTCATCTCCATTTTGTGCTCAGTATAAGTCAGGCTGTGTGCTTTCATGTTTGAAAATTGTCAGTTGTGTTCTTGGAGGAGTGTCAGTTTGATGGGTGCGCACAGGCGATGCCTGCTGCTGTAAATGCTCCCTCGGGATCGCACTTGTGTGTGACTCTGGAAGTGGGAGTGGAGCCGGAAGGCAGGTGCTCCCTCAGTCGAAGGGGTTGAGCAGCCTACACCCAGTGAAGGAGAGGGGCCTTCCTGTAGTTCGGGAAGGAGAACTTCAGTGTTACTGACCGTGATTTGCACATTTAACAGATACACAGATGCCTCGAGCAAGTATGAGTCTGTCATGAAAACAGAGCCCAACATTGCTGAATACACAATTCGTTCAAAAGAAAGGATTTGTCACTGCTTTTCTAAGGTAACAGTTGACTCATTCTCAGAAATATAAATGTTGAACATGTGGGTTAACAATCCTAAATTCTGTTCTGACATTTACTTTTAGGATGAGAAGCCTGTTGAAGCTATTAGAGTGTGTTCTGAAGTGTTACAGATGGAACCTGACAATGTAAATGCTCTGAAAGATCGAGCAGAGGCCTATTTAATAGAAGAGATGTATGATGAAGGTAAATCTTGCAGGGATTGCATTTGCAGTACCTAATGGTTAATTATATGAGGGTGGCATACATTCAGTGGCCTTTTAGAACAAATTTACAGGCATACCTAGACATGTTGACAGTTACTGTTTCATAGGTACACTGTCTGAGAAGAGTTCTGTTGAAATCAGTTCAGTGGAATATATAAGTGAAAAATTTAGCATTATTTGCTGCAGTCAAGTTAAGAAAGACAAGAAAATAGAAAATTACAATTATAGATCTGATATCCGGAGGTAATTACAGTTCATTTTAAGTCTTTCTAGACTTATCTACATACATATATTACTCTTTATTTCACGTATGTGCATATTTTATTTGGGATCTGTAATGCAAATATGCACAAAGCTTACATATATATGTCATGTCTAATATGAAAATCCTCTGTGACCTCTAGCTATTTAGTAATAACATCAGGATACCTGCTCACCCTACTCTGTTCAGTAGGGATTGTTGTTGGAAGTTACAAAAATCTTGAATAAAGACAGTGGTCTTTTTTTCTAGAAGACAACTAAATTGGTGTCTTAGTTACTTTTCTTATTGCTGAGATAAAAATACCTGACATATAAAGTTAAAGGGAAACAGTCTGTTTAGCTTGCAGTTTGTGGAGGTTTCGGTCCATGATCAGCTGGGTCCAGACAGGGTGGCCTTGTGTTGTAGTCGGCTGCTCACCCCAGGCAGGTGAAGTACTCACGTCCTAATAGCAGCATTGGGCCTGGAATCAGTCACAAACTCTAGATTCACTCACCTCTGAGAAAAGCTGAAGATTGCATGAGGCTTTGGGAGGACATCTAAACATACGCTGTAACAGTTGGCACGTATATACAGAAATGCACATTAAAAAATGGATTTCTTTTGTAACAGTATGTTATGAACATTTAAATGAAATTAAAAAAAATAAGCTTTGTAGATCCTTATTGCAAAATTCTTTTATTTTTTTCTAAGTCAGGAAAAACATTTTAAATCAAAAATAGTAAATTTTTGTTACAGTTAAAATGAAGGCTACGAAATGGTGAAACTTGTTTTTTTAAACACATATTGGTCAGTCTTTTCCTGCTTTCTTTCCCCAGTTTGCCACAAATCTTACTCCTAAGCATATACCAGGGAGTTGTGACAGTGACAGTGCAACACTCGTTACTATTATTTATGGGGCAGTTTGTGGGACATTGAGACTTTGAGGTCTAAAGTTTGAAAGTATGATACCAAAGTGGTGGGTTTTAGCATCTGTTACAGGTCAAGTCTTGTAGGCTCCAGACTATAATTTGGACGGTGCTCTTGTAATGAGTGGTAAACTGATGGCATTTAGGGAGTATTGTCAGCTTAATTCTTGAAGATGCTCAGTACTAGTGTAATATAATTGATCTTTTTTTTAAATTCTATTTTTTACTTAAGATTTAAGTAAGAGTTTATCCTTTGTTGTATGGTTTTACAAGAGTAAAACTTTTTGACAAGCATGATAACTGAGCCACTTTACTCAGAAAAGAGGGAGACAGAGAGAGGAGAGAGCTTAGTAAATGAAGTAAGTGCACTGTTACTTAACAAGATAGTCGTGTACAGCCCATAGTTAACCCTTTGTCTGAAAAAAAGCTGGCAAAAATTTTAGCCCACTCTGTAGTTTGACTCTGTTGTTGACTTCT